CGCCTTAATTCTAGTGCCTTCCCTCTGAGATTACCCCCTTTTGTACATGGTTGTTTTCACGTGGTCTTCACCATGTTAGCCACACAGAAAGATGGATGGTAGTATTCCAAATAAATAAATGGATAGATTAAAATTTCTAAATAAAATAAACCCTTCATATCCTTTTCATACTTGAAATTTTTAAGGCTGTCAGAGTGGTGGTCTCTTCTTAAGAAACTACATGTGACAGGTAACTGATTAGTGTCTGATCTTCTACCAGCTACCTTTTACCAGGAAATATCTTTGCATTGTTGGAAAGTTCCCTCCAAGAAGTAAGGTGTTACCAAAAATGGTTAGTTTCACTTTTCAAACTTTTTTCCTGCCCTGTGTGAAGTCAGACATATTTTCAGTATTTCCTAAAACATAAAACAAATTCATACTTTAATTACCTTTGTGAAGCCAGACCCATAAGTTTCTATTCTCCCTGTAATCCTTGGACTAAAGTGTTTTAGACATTGCCAGACTGGAAGGAATTGTCCTACTGCCTCCAGTGGGATGTGATCTGTGGGATTTAACAACTGATAGGAGGCTGAGATTATTTCTATATTTTAATTGAACCAGGAATCTTTTTGGTTGTTGTTTTTGTTTTTTTTTTTTACATTTGGTATTTAATCTTTCCCAGGCTGGAAACTCACCTGATCAGTACCAAAGCTTTAACCAGCAACTTTTTTCTGACCTATGTAGCTTTGTCCCTCCCACTCAGTCTGGAATCCCTCCACTTCAGGGAACTCACCCTATCGGTGCTGAACTTAGTGGGACATCTGATCAACCTTAACCCTACTGTAGCTCAGAACCCTTGAACTCAAGCAATCCACCAGCCTTAGCCTCTGGACCTGATGGCTGGCCTGCTGTGTCAGAGGCTGCAGGCCTCACAGATAGCCTGCTGTGCTGCTGGCCTGCTTAGCCAGCCTATGGAGCCATGGTTGCTGATCTGTGCTGGGGCTGGGGACCTCCTGCTGGCTTGCCTGGACACCTCCTGTACTGGAAAGCACTCCCCTTTTACCAGAGTGAGACAGACCTTTCCTGCAGTTGCCTAAAGAATTGGAAATTGAGGGGATGTCCATCAACTGGGGATTGGCTGAACAAGTTGTGGTACATGATTGTGATGGAATACTATTTTGCTGTTAGAAATGAGGAAATGTGTCACAAATGAAATTCAACAAAAGCTAGACTGAGGTGTTCTCTCTGAGAAATATAATAGCTTATTAGCAGGGGTGCTACCTGTTAATAAAGCAAGTCCAATGGCTTGCGTCAATTTCTAGCCAAAGACAGAGAATTAAGAATGCAACTCCTTTTCATGGGTATAGAACAAAGAACAGAACAGGGAAGGAAATCACACAATTGGTTATGGGGTTGGCAGCACCATGGGGGTGAGGAATCATGACTGGTCACATTAAGGGAAGGAGTTTAAACACTCATACAAGGGACTAGGACCACCTTTCCCTTTCTTAAAGGAATGCTTTAAGGATTTATGAGACCCAGCTGCACCCCAAGGCCACTGATGTGGACCACAGATGCTGACTCACTGGCACCCAGGAATGAGACAAAACCACTTTTAATTAGGCAATGATAAGGCTAAGATGGGACAAAGTAGGCTCCTTCACTCTCAAGGACAGCACACAGATGTCATGGAGTTTCTCAGGAGCTGAAGTTAAGAGGGATAAGAAGCTACCTTGGTACAAAGTGATTTGTAGGTGTTGCTAGGAAAAGAGTTCCCTTAGAGAGAAAGTGTTTTATGAGAGTACTGAACTTCTAAACTTAGTTCAGAGTTTTCCTTTCCCTAAAAGTAATAAATAAATAGTATTAAACTTTGACATCTAACTGTGAAGGAGTAAGACTGAACTTTTGAACTCATGTTTCTTCACTTCAAGACAAAGAGGAGGCTTAGGTCTGCTATACAGAATACAGTTGCAGAATATAATCAGAGTGAAATAAAATATAAAATACAGGACCAATAAATAATACTCACAAGAGAATGGTTTCAGAAAAATCTGGAAAGACTTATATGAACTGATGCAAAGTGAAGTGAGCAGAACCAGAACATTATACACAGTCACAGAAATATTATAACACAAGACTTAGCTACTCTGATCAATACAATAATCCATGACAATTCCAAAGGAGTCATGATGGAAAATGCTATCCAACCCCAGAGAACTGATGAACTCTGAGTAAAGACTGAAACATATTTTTTCACTTTGTTTGTTTTTAACAGAGCTAATGTGGAAATATGTTTTTGACTTTGCACGTATAATGGGTATCCTATTGCTTGCCCTCTCAATGGGTGGGATAGGGAATGGAGAAAAGGTAAGAATTTGAAACTCAAAATTTTTAAAAATTTTAATATCTAAAAAAAAAAGAATGGAAAAAAGAGTATCCTAGAGCATTCAATAGGAGGGTAACTTGCCCAAGGTCAGCTAGTATCAGAAGTAGGACTCCAATCCAGGTCTTCCTGGCTAAGCCTTGATCTCTATCATACCACACTGCCTTTCTTCCTCCAATTACCGCCTATTTAATTATTTATGTACCTACTGTAGCCTCAAGTAGAATGTGAGCTCTTTGAGGACAGGGCATTGTTTTACTCTTCTTTGTATCCTCAGGGCATAGGACAGTACCTGGCACATAGCAGGCACTTAACAAATGCTTGTTGACTTTTTGGTTTGGCTAAAGAAAAACAGTTCTGAGTAATTGCAAAACACAGTCATGTTTCCCAGTGAACAAATACATTCCTCCCCTTGGCAGAGAAACAAGGGCAAAAGGATGCACACTTTGGACAAGGTCACAGTACCAACTGGTTTCATTTCACTCTTTTCTTTGTTACAAGGGAGTGCTCCCTGGTGGGGGAGGGGAGAAGATCCAGAAATAAAAACAAAAGGTACCAGTAACATGATTTGTATCCAGATTTATTAAACATTCATAACATCCATTGCAATAAGTATCACTGATCTCTACTGAGTACAAGAGCCAGGGAGGGGCACAGGAGATCAAAGTTCTGTCTGAACACACCTTTCCAACTCTCTCTGCCGCTGCCCTCTGCCTGGAGCTGCTGGGGAGAAGAAGGAGGAACAGAGCCTACAAGTACCTTCCCCAGGGACAGGAAAGGGTCAAGTTCATCCCCTTGGGGCCATGTGAGTAGCCACTGGGAAGCTGCTGCCATACTCACTGCTGCTGCTGCTGTTCCCACTCACCCAAACCCCCCCACCACCACCACAGGCTGCAGTGTTAAGCCTCCTTTCCAGCTCCCAGGATGTTTCCTTTCTCCTCAGCTCACATCAGAAAGCTGG